AGAACTTCCCAAGTTATCCTTTGAGGCCAGTATTACCTTGATACTAAACCAGATAAACACATTTACAAGAAAATAAAATATGCACCAATGTCCTTTATGACTACAGATGCAAAAATCCTCAATAGAATACTAGGAAACCAAACACATCCTGAGGTTAAACATGACCAACATCATGATTAACTGTCATTTAACCCAAAAATGCAATACAGGAGTAGGTCAGCAAATGAAACCAACACCCTGTGTAAATAAATGCAGTGGGTGGACCCACATGAACATCTTAGTAAACACAGAAAGCATTTGACAAAAATCCAACACTTTTCTGTGAAAGAAAAGCATTCAACAAACTGGGAATAATAGGTAACTTCCTCTTTCCTGATAAAGGCACCCAGAAATCCCACAGCTAGCATCTTTAATAATATGTAATCAATATTTTTAAAATAATATTTAAAAGCAAAAGACTAGAAGTTTTCCCTACAGGATCAAGATTCAGACAAGATGTTTGCTCTTGCCAGTTTTATTCTACATGGAATTGGAACTTCTAACTTATTTTAATAATGTGCATCCAAAATAGAAAGTAAAACTATATTTGCAATTCCTAAGGAATTCAAGACACTAAAATATTTAGAGCTAATAAACAAGTACAGCTAGTTTATAGGATCAATAGACAAAATCACTTTTATTTCTATATGCTAGCAATGGACAATCCCAAAGCCAAAATTCACAAAATTCATAATAGCATCAAAAAAGGACAAAATATTCAGGAATAAATTTAACAAGAAAAGCCTAAGACTTATATGCTAAAAGCTGTTTTTAAAATTAAGGAGCACTTAAATGAAAAGACATCTTATGTTCATGAATTCAAAGACCTAACATGGTTAAAAATGGCATTATTCCACAAACTGCTCTACAGATTTGATGCGATCTCCATCAAAATCCAAGCTGTCTCTATTGAAGTAACTGGTGAGCGCATACAAAAATTCATATGGAAGTGCAAGTGATCCAGAATAGCCCTAATAACCTGGAAAAGGATAAAGTTGGAAGACTTGCATTTTTCCATTTCAAAACTTACTACGAGGCTACAGTAACAAAATCTCAGTTGTACAGGCATTGAGATAAAAAGGTAGACCAACAGAAGATAATTAAAATCCACAAATAAACCACCACATTTATGACCAACTGATTTTTTTTTTTTTTTTTTTTTGATAAGGGTACTAAGGTCATTCAATGGGTAGAGAAAAGACTTTTCAAAAAAAAAAAAAAAAAGGTAGGGACAGTCGTTTTGTCCAATGGTAAACACACCATGTAAGAAGTTCCCGGGGTGCTGGATTCTGTCCTGGTTGCCCCTCTTCCAGGCCAGCTCTCTGCTGTGGCCAGGGAGTACAGTGGAGGATGGCCCAGGTGCTTGGGCCCTGCACCCCATGGGAGACCAGGAAAAGCACCTGGCTCCTGGCTTCGGATCAGCACGATGCGCCGGCCACAGTGCGCCGGCCGCGGTGGCCATTGGAGGGTGAACCAATGGCAAAAAAGGAAGACCTTTCTCTCTGTCTCTGTCTACTCTGCCTGTAAAAAAAGAAGAAAAAAAAAAAAAGTTCCCATCCCACCTTGGAACATCTGTCCTCAATACCTGGCTCTAGCTCTCAATTCCAGCTCCTCGCCAGTGTAGACCCCAGCAGTGGTTGGGTTCCTGCCCCACAGGTGGGAGACCAGGAATGAATTCCTAACTCACACAGCTACAGCCCACCCAAGTGCTCACTGTTAAGTCATCTGAGGAGTGAACCAGCAGACAGCAACACTTGGTTTCTGTCTCTCTGCATCTCAAATCAATGACTAAATGTGTGGAGACAACTGGATAACACACAGAAGAATGAAGCTACATCCCTATTGACTTAATTTAACTCAAAATAGATCAAGGGGAGCCAGCATTGTGGGGAACGGGGTTAAGCGACTGCCTGCAATGCTGGCATTCCATGTAAGTGCCTGTTTGTATCCTGGATGCTCCATTTCCAGTCTGGCTCCTTGCTAATGCACCTGCAAAAGCAGTGGAGGATGGCCCAAGTCCTTGGCTCCTACACCCGTGTGGGAGACCTGGTTCCTGGTTTTGGTCTGGCCCAGCCCCAACCGCTAGCCATCTGGGGAGTGAACCAGTGGGTGGAAGATCTCTCTTGTTCTCCCTTTCTAACTCCGACTTTCAAGAAAATAAACCTTTTGGGAAAAAATGGATCAAAGGCTTAAATACAAACCTAAGAGTTAAACTACAGAACACTTAGAAGGAAACACAGGTCTAAGTCTGTGACCTTGTATTAGGTAATGAGTCTACTATCTAGAAAATATTAGTAACTCCTACAGCTCAATAAAGTTACTTATAAAATAGTCTGAATAGATGTTTCCCTTTTTCTATACATGTATGTGTATATACATACAAACCCACACACAATAACTAGTAGAACATGAAAAGATTCTCATCAACTATTAAGAAAATAGTAATGGGGCCAGTGCTGTGGTGCAGCGGGTTAAAGCCCTGGCCTGAGTGCCGGCATCCCACATGGGCACCGGTAGAACCAGCAGCTCCACTTCCGATCCAGCTCCCTGCTATGGCCTGGGAAAGCAGTAGAAGATGGCCCAAGTCCTTGGGCCCTTGCACCTACATGGGAGACCTGGAAGAAGCTCCTGGCTTTGGATCGGCACAGCTCCAGCTGTTGCGGCCATCTGGGGAGTGAACCAGTGGATGGAAGGCCTTTCTAACTCTTTCAAATCAATAAAAATAAATCTTAAAAAAAAAAGAATACTAATGAAAATTTCAACATATCCCTTCCTACCAGTTGGATGTCTATAAGTGGACCACAGCAAGTCCCACCAAGAATGTCACAATGTACAAGGAGCAGCCACTCTGGAACGCAGTTTGGCAGTGTATTAGTTTCCTATTGCTGCTATAAAAATCACCACAAAGTCAGTGACTTCAAATCACGCAAGCTTCCTTCGAGCGGTTTAGAACACCAAGTTCATCATCAGTGTCAGGGAGCTAAAGCCAAGGTGTGGGCAGGGCCGGTTCCCCCCCACCCCGAGGCCCAGAGGGGAGAACCCGCTTCCTCGCCTTTTTCAGCTTCTGGAGGACACGTGCACCCCTCGCCTCACGCCTCCCCTGCCACAGTGCTTGCTTCCCCATCTCCCTCTTCCTCCTCCTTAGAGCAACGGATTATTCCAGGCCCACCAGATCATCCAGGACGATTTCCCCATCTCAAGTTGCTTAACTTAACCACCTCCTGCAAAGTCCCTTTTTTTTTTTTTTTTTTTGACAGGCAGAGTGGACAGTGAGAGAGAGGAGAGAGAGAAAAGTCTTCCTTTGCTGTTGGTTCACCCTCCAATGGCCGCTGCGGCCGGCGCACCGCGCTAATCCGAAGCCAGGAGCCAGGTGCTTATCCTGGTCTCCCATGGGGTGCAGGGCCCAAGCACTTGGGCCATCCTCCACTGCACTCCCTGGCCACAGCAGAGAGCTGGCCTGGAAGAGCGGCAACCGGGACAGAATCCGGCGCCCCGACCGGGACTAGAACCCGGTGTGCCAGCGCCGCAAGGTGGAGGATTAGCCTAGTGAGCTGTGGCGGTGGCGCAAAGTCCCACAGATGACCATTTCTGGAGATGAGAACTGTACAGATTTGGGGTGGGGGCGTGATCTGGCCTACCACAGTGATTCCAACATAGAATTAGCACATAACCCAGCATTTTTACTCCCAACAGCATTGAAAACATTTTTCCACTCAAAAACTTGTACACAACTGTTCAGAGCAGCAGCAGTTCCGACAGCAAAAAAGCAGGAACAAAACCAATAACGAGTGGGTACCAGCTAATGAGTGGGCAAGCAGAACATGGTTTAGCCACACAATGGAGTGGAGTAAGCCACAAAGGAACAAGGTACTGATACACCGCACAACACCGAGAGACTGAAAACCCCAGGCTGAGTGAAAGCAGCCGGACACAAAAGACCACACATTCCTTGTTCATGGAACTGTGCAAAGTCCAGAAAAGGTAAACCCATAGTGACCCAAGGCTGTGGGGATGAGGAAGGAGGAGTGACTGCCGAACGGGTCTGGGGTCTCCATCTGTTGAGTCTGTTCTGGAACTTTAGAGGAGACAGCTGTACAACCTGGTGACTGTACTAGCAGCCAGCAGTTGTACACTTTAAAGGGGTCCATTTTGGTTTATGTGAATTCTGCCTGAATTAAAAAAAAAAATGCTAGTATAGGACAAAAAGGCAAACAACCCCTTTTTTCATTGTTGTGCTTCATACCTTCTTGGGCTGGTGTGTGTGTGTGTGTGTGTGTGTGTGTGTGTGTACACGTGTGGTTGGTCCCTAGGGACTGCCCCAGACAAGTGAATAGAGACGCAGCTCTGAAACCACTGGCCAGTCACAGAACCACTGGACCCATCTCATCAATCACTGAATCCGTCCCTCTCTGCCTGCCCAGCAGGTGCAGACGACAGCCATGGACAGTACAGACGGGACACAGACAGTGATGTCCCACAAGAGACGTGGGATACAGCATCACTGAAGGACCAGGATTCCTGCATTCATGGAAATAGGACGAACGCTGAAGTCGACCTGGCACGGGCCTTTAGCGAGGCTGGAGCAGATGGAGACAGGAAGACGAAAGATGGAATTCACGTCCTAGGGAAGACGTGACCCATCCATGGACTAGATGCCTCCACCAAGAAACGGCCCTCACTAGGCTTAGGGTTAACCCTCTCTAACCCTCTCTTCCTGGGCCCCCAGGCTCAGAGCCCACAGCGAATGCTCCACCAGAAGCAGTGCCTTCTCCACTCCCCTTTGGAACACGGATCCCACAGACTCCCGACAGCGAGGTAAACAACGCTTAGCGTCAGACAAAGGCAGGTAAGCTGCACCACGATCTCCCCACCCCCACCTAAAGGCCCTGAACGGGAGTTTGCAGGCTCTGAACCATTCAGCGGTTTCCAGCTGCCGGAACGCCCGCTGTGCTGGGACGCACCCCTTTGGTGGGTTTTTCAGAAGCTGGCTCGGGGGAGCAATCAGTGATGTTCCGTCTCTTTAAGGCCTGCTCCTCTTTCCTGGCCTTCCGCAGCTCCAGGCTGACTGCCACGCGCTGCTGCCGCCTCACCTGGGAAGGAAAAGGCAGAATTGGAGGCGTTAGAACAGGAGACAGGATGGTCACCCTGCTTAGCCCTCCAAACCGTTTCTAAGCCTCGGTGCTTAGCTGCAGCTGGCTGGGAGAGGTAAGATCACACAGTGAGCCAACTCGGCTCTGCTCCTCTTCCTCCTCCTCCCCCTCCTCCTCCTCCTCCTCCACCCCTCCCCCTCCCCCTCCCCCTCCCCAGGTCGAGGAAAATCATGCCCATCCTTGCAGCCAGCATCCACCGCTGTGAAGACTGCAAAGCCACCCATCGCCCCATGAGTGCCCGAGTTTGGCTGCTTCCAGGATGGGCCCAGGGCCTTCTAGCAGTGGCCAGGCAGATATGTGGGGCTGGGGGCGATTCAGAGGCATCCCTGTGTCCCAGACACAGGCCCCGACCGGTTCCACCGTGTGTGAAGTCAGCCCACAGGCCTCTCAAGGCCTTGGTCAAGTCCAACAGCAGACTGAAGGAGATTCAAATCTAATCCTTCTTGTAGGAGGGTACTGCAAAATGCTCCTAGTAGGGCAAGTGTTTGGTCCAGCGATTAAGCCGCTGCTCGTGTTGTCAGCAGCCCATGTAGGATGCCGGGTTTCCAGTCCCGGCTCTGCTAATGCACACCTGTGAGGCAGCAGGTGAGGGCTCGAGCATTTGGGTTCCCGCCACCATGTGGGAGAACCAGATGGAATTCCTGGCTCCTAGCTTTGGCCTGGCTCAGTCCTGGATGTTTTGACGTTTGGGGAGTGAACAAGTAGATGGAAGATCTCTTTCCTTCTCTCTCTCTGCTTTTCAAATAAATCAGGTAAAGTCATTTAAAAATATTTTTAAAGTGTTCCTGGAAAATACAATTAAAAGATCCATTTATTTTGGTGTAAAAATTTTTGAGCAGGTGAATCTCTTCTTTCTCCCTCCTTCTCTAACTCTGCCTTTCCAATAAAGTAAACCTTTATAAAAAAAAAGTTGAAATCATGCCTATTGTGAAAAATGTACAATATAATGAAAATGTAACACATATTCATGAAAAATGCATGTATGAACCTCTAGGGGACCGCATTGCAGAGTAATAGGTAAACACCATCCCATATCAATATGTGCCAGTTCAAGTCCCAGCTGCTCCACTTCCAATCCACTTCCTTGTTAATGGCCTGGGAAAAGCAGCAGCAGATGGCCCAGATGTTTGGGCCTCTGCTATCCTCCTGGGAGGCCCTGAGGAAGCTCCAGGCTCCTGGCTTCTGCCTGATCCAGTTCCAGCCATTGTGGCCATCTGGGGAGTGAACCAGCAGATGGAAGATCTCTGTCTCTCCCCCTCACTGTAACTCTGACTTTAAAATACAAAAATCTTTGAACAAAATTCTGAACCTGGATTACAAATATTTTTGCACTAAAAAAATTTAATTTTTGCATAAACTTCTTTAAAAAAGAGACTTATTTGAAAGGCAGAGTGTCAGAGAGCAAGGGACAGGAAGAAAAAGATTTTCCATCTGCTGGTTCACTCCCCAGATGGCTGCAACAGCCAGGAGCCCAGAAATCCATCCAGGGCTCCCACATGTGTGGCAGGGGCCCAAGCACATGGGCCATCTTCCCCTACTTTCCCAGGCACATTAGCAGGGAGCTGGACGGGACCTGAACTGGGACTCTGATATGGGATGCTGGTTCCGCACTGCAGTTTAACCTGCCACACCAGAACAACCGCCCTCACACACTCTGGGACATATGCTCACATCAGTCAAGAACTTGGACTGGATCATATTGCCAATATTCAGGAGACAACCTAACCTTTCAGGATAGACAGGTTGAGGATGAAGACTTTTAGGTGATAATTACCGTCATGCATGATGTAACAATGGAGATAAGTTCTAAGAAATGCATGGTCAGGCAATTTCACCATTGTGCAAACATCAGAGTGCACTCACACAAACGAGGCAGTGCTGATGCCACCAAGTGATACAATCTTACAAGGCCACTGCTGTCCATGCGGCCCATCACTGACGAAGACTTCGTTATGTGGCGTGTGACTGTACAAGGAAGCCAATCTGTATTAAATACTCTGATTCCTGAAGGAAGCTATCCATTCAATCCTTGCTTGAAAATAGGGCCATCGTGGTGTTGCACGGTAAGGCAGGAACACCACTGAGGCCTGCCTAGCTGGCTGTGGTGCTGTCCCTCACTGAAGGGGCCCTCCCTGGGGACAGAGGGTATTGTGCCTTGCAGTGTCTCTCATCGGCTGGCCCTTCCTGCTGCTGTCCCAGCTACTGTGAGATCTCAATTCTTCCAGCCTGTTGCATCCCTAACAATGAATACCATGCTTCTGAAACGTGTTCAGCTCCTTCGTTTCCATTCATCTGAGTGGTCTTGAGGGCCAGACAGCCACACTTGATGGACAGGCTACTTTAAGGGTGATTTGGCACTGGGGTGGGTGTTTGGTTGCCCACATCCCATATCCGAGTGCCTGGGTGCGAGTTCTGCTCTGCTTCTAATCCAGCTTCCTGCTGATGCGTACTCTGGGAAGCAGCAGATGATGACTCAAGTCCTTGGGTCCCTGCCACCCCTGGGAAGACCTGGATAGAATTCTGGGCTCCTGGCTTTCCCCTAGTCCTGCCCTGACTGCTGCAGGCATGTGAGGAGTGAACCAGTAGTTAGATCATTGTTCCCATCTCTGTTTCTCTGCCTTATTTTAAGATTTATTTGAAAGACAGAGCCACAGAGAGAGGTAGAGACAGAGAGAGAGAGGTCTTCCATCTGCTAGTTCACTCCCCAGATGGCTGCAATGGCCGGAGCTGTGCTGATCTGAAGCCAGGAGCCTGGAGCTTCTTCTGGGTCCCATGTGGGTGCAGAGGCCCAAGGACTTGGGCCATCTTCCACTGCTTTCTCAGGCCATAGCAGAGAGCTGGATCAGAATTGGAGCAGCCAGGACTAGAACAGGTGCCCATATGGGATGCTGGGGCTTCAGGCCAGGGCTTTAACCCGGCACCACCGCGCTGGCCCCTGCCTTTTTTTTTTTAAATTATTTATCTGAAAGGCAGAGTGCAGGAGTGTTTCTGATCACTGGTTCACTACTCAAATGGCCACCAACAGCTGAGCTGGGCCAGGCCAAAGCCATAAACTCCACTGTGGTCTTCCAAATGGGTGGCAGTGGCCCAAGTATTGGGTCATCACCTGGTGCCGTCCCAGGCACATTAGCAGGAAGCTGGGTTGAAGCAGAATGGCTGCACCTTGAACCAGCACTCCTGTGTGGAATGGTGGATTGCAAGCAGCGGCTTCATCTGCTGGGCCACAACACCAGCCCCTCTCTGCCGTTCTAACAAAGTGGGAAAAAAAATAAACAGTCACACGGTAACCCCGGTTTGTCTCCACAGCCGTCTGGCTCCCAGGCTCACGTCCCTTTGTCCCTCCTCCCCATCCTCAACTCAACATCTTGTGAAAATTTCATACATCCAGCAAAGTTTCAGCAACGTCCCAGCGAACCACCACGAGCCTATCTGGATGGAGATTTTGCTGGGTTTCCTCCCTGTCCCCCAGTCCGCTCCATCCCGTGTTTAATGCATTTCAACTGCCGGTCCCTGGGAGACCGCTGAATACTCACAGATGCCTCTTTGCCCCGGTACTTAAACTTCCTCAGCCTCTCCTCCGGGACGTCCAAGGTGGGCATGGTCACTGGCAGGAGGAAATCGCCTGCGGGAAGAACAACCGCAGGGGGCGCTTCAGAGCCCAGCGTGTGCTCCCCCCATGGAGCAGACTCATGGCGTCGGCTTCTAGAAGCATCCCCACACCAGCCCCCTCGACGGCCCGGGAGCCCCCTAAGGAGGGGGTAAGCACCACAGGGACAGCAAGGGGACCAGCTCTGGGCTCCAGTCCTGAGGAGAATCTTCTAGGGCCAGTCTGGCTCAGGCTGGCCCTCCCATCACTGGGGTACGCTGGACAGAAAACAGAAGCTTTTCAGACCTGGTGTCTTGGGAGCTGCAACCACAGCACCTGTGCCCGGTGGGCAGGAGGCCACGCAGGTGCACCAGGAAGACACCGCTCTCCTCCCACACCCAGCCCACCAGCATGGGGAGCCCAGGCCACATCAGCTCTCACTACTACAGATGTCCCCTGCTCTGCCGATACTGATGGTGGGGGCAGGTGTCTGGGCTGGTGGTTAAGGTGCCCGCGCCCCACTTCAGACTACATGAGTTCAGTATCTGGCCCTGTTCCCCAACTCCGACTTCCAGCCCACATGCACCCTGGGAGGCGGTGATTAGACTCGTGTCACACACACAGCTCCCAGTTCCTGCCGTTGCAGGAATTTCATTTTGGGAATTTTTGGAATCACACCAGCAAATGCGAGCTCTGTGCCTTTCAACAAACAACAACAAAAACCAAGAAGGCATGTTAGGAAGAACGAATCTAATCATGTAGCTCCCCAGCTTAAAAAACCCTCGCTTGGCTGCCCACTGATGTCAAAAGAAAACCCAAACTTCCTGTGGTGCCCTGAGGAGCTGCCCCAGCCCACTCCACTCCAGCGCTGTCTCCTGATCTCTTTGCTCTAAGCCTTTTGGCTTTTCTTGGATTTAAGAGCGTTTTGTTTTTTCCTGGGGCAGTATTCTGGCATAGTGGGTTAAGCGCCTGCCTGCAATGCCAGCATCCTATTTGGGCACCGGTTCACGTCCCAGCTGTTCCACTTCCTATCCAGCCCCCTGCCTAATGTGCCTGGGAAAGCAGAAGATGGCTCAAGTGCTTGTGCCCCTGTACCCACCCAGAAGAAGCTCCTGGTCCAGCCCTGGTCAATGTGGCTGTGTGGGGAGTGAACCAGTGAATGGAAGATCTGTGTCTCCCCTTCCCTCACTGTAACTCTGCCTTTCAAATAAATTTTTTTTTTTTTTTGACAGGCAGAGTGGACAGTGAGAGAGAGAGACAGAGAGAAAGGTCTTCCTTTTGCCGTTGGTTCACCCTCCAATGGCCGCCGCGGCTGGCGCGCTGCGGCCGGCGCACCGCGCTGATCCAATGGCAGGAGCCAGGAGCCAGGTGCTTTTCCTGGTCTCCCATGGGGTGCAGGGCCCAAGCACCTGGGCCATCCTCCACTGCACTCCCTGGCCACAGCAGAGGGCTGGCTTGGAAGAGGGGCAACCGGGACAGAATCCGGCGCCCCGACCGGGACTAGAACCCGGTGTGCCGGCGCCGCTAGGCGGAGGATTAGCCTAGTGAGCCGCGGCGCCGGCCTCAAATAAATAAATTTTTTAAAAGTTTATTTTTTTTTCTTTATTTGGGAAGCAGAGAGTCAAAAGAGACAGTTCCTCTTTGATTCACTCCCCGAGATGCCTCCAAAAGCTGGGGTTTGCTCTGGCCAATGCTGATGGCCAGGAACTCAGTCCGGGTCTGCCTTGTGGGTGGCAGGGATCAAGTCACTCAATGCATCACCACTGCCTCCCCAGGCCTGTGTTGGCAGGAAGCTGGAATCAGAGCCAGGAACAAAACCCAGGCACTCTGATGGGGGCCATGGGCATCAACCTCTAGGCCGGATGCCTGCCCTGACTCTTGGGCCTTTGTGACCACCCCTGCAGGGGCCTCAGAACCGGTCATTCCTCTCAGAACCCGGGAGTCGCTGGCTCCTTGGGGCTCAGCTCAGTCACCACCTGTGGAAGGCTTTCCCACAAGAAGTCCAGGCAGCTGCCCAAGGAGCCTCTTGGACTTCCAGTGTTCACTGATTGGACCTCTTCTTGCTCACCCATCTTTCCCTCTGTGCTCCTGTTGGCAGCAGCACCACGTGTGTCTTAGGTGCAACCCCCCCGGCTCCTTCACCACGAGGGGCCAGCCCTGTGGCACAGCGGGTAAAGCTGCCACCTGCTGTGGTGCTGGCATCCCATGTGGGCGCCGGTTCTAGTCCCGGCTGCTCCTCTTCCGATCCAGCTCTCTGGTATGGCCTGGGAAAGCAGTAGAAGATGGCCCAAGTCCTCTGGCCCCTGCACCCACGTGGGAGACCAGGAAGAAGCTCCTGGCTTCAGATCGGCACAGCTCCATCTGTTGCTGGTTCACACTCCATCTGGGGAATGAACCAGCAGATCAAAATTCTCTCCTCCTAACTCTGCCTTTCAAATAATATAATGTCCAGCAGGTAGGAGGTTCTCGAATGCTGGCTGCAGGAGGGTGTGGGAGACACAGCGGCAAAGGGAACAGGCGCACCGTGGGAGGGCGAGCTTTCCCTGAGGCAGCAGGGACTCCCATGCGCTCGGGTGCGGTGAACTCCACCTGCTCCTGAGCACGCAAGGTGGTCCAGACCACATCACAGAAAAGACAGAACTGCACAAGGAAGGCCAACAGACCCGAGTCTTCAGTGGATCACAGCTGATGGTTCTGGAGAGCAAGTCGATTGGGAAGGGCCAGTGTAGACAACCTGGAGAATTGTGTGAGTTTAGAGCCAAGATGGATGGCTTAGGAAAAAAAGACAAGCTGTGAGATAAGAGCAAGAATGGATGAGGCTTCCCTTAGGCCTCACAAGGACGAAGACCCAGCGAAGGAGCAGCACAAAGAGGGGAATCAGAACGTGGCAGTGTCAGGCAGCCACACCTGGGCCACGTCCCTGAAGCAAAGCACCACCCACGCTCGGACCACAGCAGGGCAGGAGCTGCAGGGGACCACGGCAGCCGAGTCTCAGGGCAGAGCAGGATAACATCCCACATGGCCTCTCTGGGGCCTCTTCCTGCCAACTCTGCCTGCTTTTTACTTACTTACTTATTTTTAAAGATTTATTATTTCTTTGAAAGACAGTGTTAGAAAGAGAATATGAATGAATGAGAATGAGAATGAATCGGTCTTCCATCTGCTTCTTCGCTTCCCAAATGGCCTCAATGGCTGGAGCTGAGCTGATCCAAAGCCAGGAGCTTCTTCCGGGTCTCCCATGTGGGTCCAGGGGCCCAAGGACTTGGGCCATCTTCTACTGTTTTCTCAGGCCATAGCAGAGAGCTGAATCGGAAGTGGAGCAGCCAGGACTCGAACCAGCACCCATATGGGATGCTGACACTGCAGGTAGTGGTTTTCTATGCTACACCACAGCACCAGCCCTACTGCCTGCTTTTTAAATTAATCATTTAGGGACAATGTTGTGATACAGCAGGTTAAACCACTGCCCAAAATGCTGAAATCTTGTATGAGCACTGGTTCAAGTCCTGGCTGCCCCACTTCCGATCCAGCTCCCTGCTAATGGCCTGGAAAAGCAATGAACATGGCCCCTGCCACCCATGTGGGAGACCCATATGAAGTTCCCGGCTTTGGCATGGCCCAGCCCTGGCCGTTAGGACCATTTGGGGAGCAAACTAGTAGATGGAAGATCTGTCTCTCCCCCTTCCTCCCTCTGTAACTCTGCCTTCCAAATAAATAATTTTTTTAAAAAAGTTTAGTAAAATAATGGTTTATTTAAAAAGCAGAGAGAGAGACAGAGCTCCCATCTGCTGGTTCACTCTCCAAGTGCCTACAATGGATAGGACAGGGCTGGGACAAAGCCTAGAGCTAGGAACTCAAACCAAGTCTTCCGTGTGGATGGCAGGGACCCAACCACTTGACCCATCACTGCTGCCTCCCAGGGTCTGCACTAGAGGGAAGCTAGAGTCAGCAGCCAGAGGCAGATATGGGACTCAGGCACTCCCCCGTGGGCCTTAGGGGTTTTAACTGCTTGGCCAATGCCTGCTTTAAAGCATTAATCCCTTCAAGAGCTTGGGCAAGGAGAGCCCACACTGTGTCTGCAACTCTGAGAATGGGAAATGCAAATTACTTCCTAGAACTGACCGATCTCTCCCCCTCCCTCCAGCTCAGAGACACACGGATCAAATCCAAACAAAACCCTCAATCGTTCGGCTAGTTGCGCTGACTGCCTCCCACGCCCCAGTCAGAGCTGTGCCATGGGGCCTCAGTGCCATCCCAAGTCCCTCAGTTGTTGCCTCTTAAAAAAAAAAAAAATTGGCCAATACAACTTCAGGCTCTAGGTTAGTTCTATACAAGGTCAAGGTGGAGGTAGCTTTCCTCCACAGTGCTCGGGGACCAGAACTCAGCACACCCAGAAGAGGAGAGAACTGTGTGGTCAGACAGGCTCGGCTCTGGGAGCTCAGGCCGGAAAGTGACCTCTCCCCCAGTGAGAAGAAGCATCCCTTTTTAGGGCTACACCGTGGCTACGTCATCCCTTCAAACACCATCGCGAGAACTCCTTTCCGAGTCGCTGTCATCAACGGCGTCAAGAGGCTCACCAGGTGGAGCTGGAGGCTTGCTTTAAATGAGAAGCACTCTCTTGGGTCCCGAAGAGTGAACACGCACTGCGTTTTACAAACCTACACAGTAGACCAGAATCACAGGCCTATTTGGGGGAGCAACAGCCGACAGCAACATGTGCCAGGAATGCTTGACGCTGAAGACGTAATGAGGCAACACCTGGCCAGCAGGGCAGAGAAATCCCCAGCTTGCAGGCTGAGGAACCGAAGTTCTCACAGCCCACCCCTGTGTCCATTCTATTGTCACTGACCTTTGCAGCCAATATTCTGCAACAAAGGACAGGCATCTGACCCAGCAGTTAGAAAGCCCACATCCTCCGATTCCCAGCTTCCTGCAAATACTCACGTTGGGAGGCAGCGGACGATGGCTTAAGTAGTCCTGTGTGTGTGGGTTCCTGCCACCCACACACACAGGAGATGGAGTGAGCTCCTGGCTTC